ATTAATTATAAAAACTGTTATAACTCTAGTTACAACTACTACTATACACTCCAGTAATAAAAAAAGGTCATTCTTTGCTATACTGGAAAAAATAGACACTTACATTGATTAGAAACAAGAATAGATAAATCAAGTAATGTTACTTTTGAAGCCATAAAAAATGGACTTTTAGGCTTTCACGCCATCTAGAATTAGCAACACCACAAAAGTTTTTTTGGCTGGTTCGATGTGAGTTTCCTGCAAAAATATCTACAGAAATATGGGTTGCAGAAAAAAGCACCTGATGGTGTCATGATGGTGTCATGATGGGGTGACTGGGATTGCAGTATTGCTAGCTCAAAGACCACATTGCCTTCTTTGGAGGCGGCCATGCTTGAATGCAAGCCTATTGTAATCGTTTAATTACAACAAGTAAAGATCGTCCAAAGTATGATTTTCAAAGATATTATATCAAGTTTATTATTAAGTTAGTTTTGGAAGTACGATATCATCAACAAGTTAAGCTCAACACCACAATGAATGATAACACCATGTTGCGGTATCAACTTGAAGTGACGACTTTTATGAATAGCATTATAACACTATCTGAGACAGGGATCTCAGATGGTGCGTATTTAACCTGCATATGAAATTATATAATATCAACATAAAAATGATGAAAATATGTTACTATTGAAAAAATTGTATGCACATTAAAATACATTTATCCGAAATTTTATAAAACTTATAATTAAATCTTCAGTTATAACGTTGTCTAAGGAATATAAGAATATATTCCAGGTAAAGTGGTGTCAACATTTGCCTCACATACATAATATTAATGACGGGGGTACGGACATGAATATTCATGTATGTATACATGGTAATTTTTTTATATATTTATTTAAACCATTGCTTATACTTATACAAAGTCAAAGTCATCTTTATTGTCACATAACGTTTTTTTCAAATGCTCTGGCACAGCCGACATTGTCAAACTATACTAAGATAAACTAGCTAATTGGTAAAAATAAATACATAGTAAAAAAAAAAAACAATTCACATAGATTTGTCTTCGAGAAACAGATCTATACTAAAATAATTATTTTCCAACAAAAACTAAACAATGTTTCCTTAAAAGATACTAATCCTATGATTGATTCGTTGAACCCAGGCAAATAGTAAAAACATCTTTTACCCATATAAGAAGGTGTCCTCTCCACAAGATTTAATCTGTGTATAGGATATTGAAAATCTTTATTAAATCTAGTGTTATAATTGTGCCGATTATTTTCACTGAGGAGTTTTTCGAAATTTGATTTCACATACAATAAACATTTAAGAATATACAAATTAGGGACGGTTAGAATTTTTAGTTCTTTAAAAAGTTGTTTGCAAGAATGTTTTACGGGTTTGAAAACATTATTCTAAGTATTACTTTTTTGAAGTTTAAAAAGTTGATACGAACCAGAGGTGACGCCCCAAAGCTTGAATTTTTCCATACTGTTCCATACTGTAAAATTGATGAAAATAAAGCGTGATAAATCATTAGTCTAGTGTTTAAATCATTTCTTAAGACCATTCAATTAATTATATTACCCTTAAACATTTAGCATTAACTGTTTTTACGTGTCCTCCTAATTTCATTCTCATACCTCCACAAAACCCTCTGAGATATCGCCGTAAAGTCCTCTCTTACAGTCCCACAAATCCCTCTCTTATATCCATTGAAAGTTACTTGGTATCCTATTTCACCGTCTAACATTCTCAAAAACTATTTATAGGCCTACATAACCCCACAAATATCTATCTTGCATATCTCCACAAGATCCGCTCTCATATCCTCATAACGCCCTCTCTTGTGTCTCCTGGATAATCACCATCGCACAAACCCAAGTAACTGTAGAACTATCAACTCTTTTCTCATATCGCCATAAAGTCCTCTCTTATATTCCCACAAGTCCCCCTCATATATCCTCACAAAACCCTCTCATTTATCCCCACATGCCCCTCTCTCATATCCTTATAAATTCCTCTCTTATATCCCCACATGCTCCTCTCTTATATCCCCACATATCCCTCTCACATATCCTCACTATGCCCTCTCTTACAATGACCGTTATATCCTCTGAATGTTCTCTCTTATATCCCCACTAATTCCTCTCACATATCCTCGTAAATCCCTCTCTCATAGTGACCGTTATAGCCCCACAAGGACAAAAATCGGCACTTGGTAAATGGACGAATTTTTGAGAGAGGGCCACAAAAAACAACTGCTAAAATTTTATCTAACAATCTTCTCTCGCTAGATTCTTTCTAACACTAAAAATGGCAGAGTTCCACAAGTGACCATACAAACAAGTATCCCCGCAAAGCACCAGATGCTGGACAGAGAGAGAGAGAGAGAGAGAGAGGAGAGAGAGAGAGAGAGAAGAGAGAGAGAGAGAAGAGAGAGAAGAGAGAGGAAAAGAGAGAGAGAGAGAGAGAGAGAGAGAGAGAGAGAGAGAGAGAGAGAGAGAGAGAGAGAGAGAGAGAGAGAGAGAGAGAGAGAGGGAGAGAGAGGGAGAGAGAGAGAGGAGAGAGAGTGAGAGAGAGAGAGAGAGAGAGAGAGAGAGAGAGAGAGAGAGAGAGAGAGAGAGAGAAAGAGAGATAGTAGATAGGGGCGTTTGATAAGGAATCTGAAAAAGTAAACAAACAAGGAACAACGACACGTCTCGCCCACTACATTTGCACACGTGACCACTTTTTGTTTCTTCCTTATCTTTTCATCCGTCCCAAAATAGAATTCCTGAAATAGTTTGTTGGTATAATCTCCCCTCCCACACAAGGCGCAGTGCTCAGTGCGCACTGTAGGTTGCCACGGCAACCGTGTGTCGTCATAGCGACTTAGCCAATCACGCACTCGCACTTCGCACTGCGTTGTATATTACGATACGAATGTCAAATAGTTGTATTAGAAAGACAACGCGATAGGTGGTAGTTTCCTCAAAATTACGATCGATAATCATTGCGTCTTGACTGAGCTGAGGTTCGTGCTTATCAAGACACAATTATGAAACGGAGGAGAGTAAATTTAAATGAAAGTTAGTTCCTTATTTATTAATTTAATTTTTATTTGCTAGTTCAATAAGTATTCGGCTCGAACATTTCGAACTTTTTGAAAATCACGAGCCGAGCCGAATAGCGTCCTATTCGGCTCGAAAAAGCTCGATGTTCGAATACTCGCACACCCCTAGCGCCAACCTCCCACATCAGTTTGAAAAAATTGACCATCAGAAGGGCGCTCTTGTTGTAACTTTTGTTAATACTGAAACCTCTGACTGGCTAAAGAGGGTGCCCCCAGAGGGGAGGTAACTGCCCGGTGTTGGAACCGGCACTTCAGGTAGGCCACAGTTACGGACGACTGGACAAGCCAGCCTCTTTGGGTTGTACCCAAAGTGAGAGTACCCAGTGACACTCCTCTATCCAGGATGGGGGGTTCAGCTCTGCGAGACTTTGGTCTCCCATCTGCCTGGGGCTGTGGTCCTTTGGGCTCTGTCCTGCCTGTTGTGTATGGCTCTGAAAGTAGCCTCTTCCTGGGAGGTGAAAAACGGGCAATTGCTAAGCCCCATAAGAGGAGGTAACTGCTCGGTGTCGGAATTGGCATTCCAAGTAGGCCATAGTTATGGACTACTGGACAAGCCAGCCCCTTAGGGGAGAGTACCCAGTGACATTCCTCCATCCAGGTTGGTGGAGTGTTCAGCTCTTCGAGAGGTGGTAGTGTGCCATCAATCTCCTACCTGCCTGTGGCTGTGGTTCTATGGGCTTCGGCCCGCTTGTTGTGTGCGACCGACATTATGTGTGGCAAATCCTCGACTTTGGAAGTAGCCTTTTCCTGGGAGGTGAAAATGGGCTTGTACCCGTAAGCTCACGGGGACACTCTCTGGGAACGAAGCTTTCCGCAGTGTGAGGGCAACGGCAGGTGGTCACACTCCATCCCTACCTCTGTCTCTATCCCTGTCTCTGAGCCCGGAGGGTATGGTTCTCGAGAGTGTGGGGGGTTTTCCTTGAAGGAACCTCAATTGAGTTAAGGGTGTCGCCATCTTTGGTGGATAGGTTTATCCGGGTGGGTCCCACTTCTATACCTGCCTCCTTTTGGGAAACCCTGATGGTCTGGCAGTGATGCTGGGCTAGATGGACAAATGAAGTAGATCGGGTGCTGGGATCAAGCCCGCTGGGGGTTTCTGGGGATCTATCGCCCTGGTTATCCCTGGTTTCCCAGTGAATAGGTTGGCTTCGATCGGGTAGTGGTGTAAATAGGTGGTTGCTGATGGTCCCCTTCCTCCTGGCTTTGATGGCGTGTTTCGGCCTGTCAGGGATTAGATAGGTCCCGAGTGTTGCGTGCACTGTGTTGCATTCAGGGCATTTCATTATGGTCCTTCAGGGTTTCGGCCCTGGTGGAACCCATTTGGAGTGAGTATATGTGCGACCAAGTAATCGGTATCCCTGGTTAAGATTGAGGGGTACCCTCTTTCTGAAGGGTTGCTTCGGCAGCCAGTGAGCTTGATGGCCTTAAGTCATCCACCCATGGTGTGTTCAAGGTTGGTGCGTAAGCTCCGGCCGACACTATGGGTCCCGGGTTGAGTATTAGGTACCGGGTAGCCGTCGGGGTGTCTTGGCTCCTTCGACAAAATGAACATGGACAAAAAAATGAACATGGCTAATGAGGGTGGCACCGAAGTTAGCGCTTGAAGGTGAGAAGGGTATGGAGGTAATGGTAACAGACTATAGGGATCTGCTACACACGACCAAAGTGCTCCTCTGCACCGACAGGCTTCTGGTTAAAGTCGAAGCCTCTAAAGTGTTTGTTCAGATGGAGCGGCAAAATCCTGGCGACACGACCAGGGATTGGCATGTCATTGGTGGGAAGGAGAAGGATGATCATCAGATACTTGTTCTTGCCATTGATGAAATGAATGAGCAGGTTCTATAAGATCGTGGCTGGATCATCTACCTGGGCCTGGGGAAATTGCAGCTCAGAGTTATCTCTGGTGATCCCTCTGTTGACCCAGGTCCTACAGGCGAACCTACAACACAGTAAGCCTACCACGGCTGTGTTCTGTCTGAGCACGGTAAGCAGTCCTTAGATTTTGCTCTGATTCAGGAACCCTGGGTCAATAATTTTAGAATATAGACTTACCTCGTACATGCTGTCGAAGTAGACTGGTTCATTGTATCCTCGCAGTATCCAAGGATGGTGCCTCAACTCGTCCACTGTGATTCTCTTGGCAGGATCAGTCTGTAGCATGGCTCTCAGTATCTGACGGCTTCCTTCAGACAGGTAGTCTGGGGTTGTATACTTGCCACTCTATACAACACATGTCTCATTACAATCAACTTAAATACAATTCCTTAAAAACCTCAAGTTTACCACTTGAGTCTTAAGTTTCTTTATTAAATTTCAGAACCTATATGACTAGGTAAGCGGTCTCAGGTCTGCCAATTGATCGGAGCAAACAAAAAAAATGTAAAAAATTTTAAAAAAGGGTGAGAAGTCCACTGCACTATACATCCACGTGTTTACAATGGACTATTTAATTAATAATGTTGATTTGACTCTCGCTAGTTGGTTAGAAAAGCTAATTGAACACTTGATATTGGACACTTTAGGTGAACCTGAAGAAAACTCATTCTTCCTTAGTTGAAAATGTGGTCAGTGACAGTGAAATGTTCTAATGTTTTGGTTATGTAGTCTAAAGTGTTGTGTTTCTTGTGCGAGTTTGAACTCTTCCTTATTAAGGAAAGTCTGCTATTCTCGCAAAAAAAATCTTGAAACCACCGTGTGCTCTGTCAAACATCTTTAATTGAAATATTTTGTTTTAGTTCCTATTTACATTTATCAATATTGTTTGATGTTAATAAAAACATTAAGTCAACATCGGCAAACATTAATATTTTCAACATCAATCACCTTTAAAAACTAGGTATCTTTAATACTTTATAACTTTATAGTATATTTCATAACAAGAGTAAAAAGTGAGTCATTATATATTTGAGACCATTTTTGAAGTGCGAGATTTATCGAGCACTTTAAATGGTCGAGAATATGTATAGACCCACTTTCACTTGTTTTGAACGCTACACTCCAAAGAATAATAATTAGGGATGGTTGGGTCCCGAAATTTTGGGAATTTTTCGGGAAAAAAATATTCCCGATTATCGAGATGGGATTACATTTGATTCGGGAATTTTTCGGGATGGGATTTGGGATTTTACCGCTTCGCGAGTGACGATGACGCCGCTATTGCGAGAGATGTTCACGATAGGTCTGCGAACGCACCGATCGATTGATCGCTTGATTTCGACGATCTCGCCGTGACCGTGGAGTCATACCGACGATCACCACGTGACCGCGGAGTCATACCGACGATCGCGCCATGACCGCGGAGTCATACCGACAATCACGACGAGACCGCGGAGTCATACCGACGATCACGACGTGACCGCGGAGTCATACCGACGATCATGCCGTGACCGCGAGTCCTACCGACAATCACCTCGTGATCGCGGACTCCTACCGACGATCACCCCGTGGCCGCGGATTCATGCCGATGATCACCCCGTGGCCGCGGATTCATACTGACGATCATTCCGTGACCGTGAGTCATACCGACGATCACGCCGTGACCGTGAGTCATACCGAGGACAACTCCGTGACCGCGGTCATTTTGACGATCACCCCGTGACCGCGAGTCACAAGTTTCTATAGGTACCTGTAAATTGTTACCCATTTTTTGGTTTTTGTAGATCAGTACCACAAACGGTAAAAATTGATTTCGTTGGTCGTTGGTAACTGCAATACTCAAGACTTTCTTTTTATGCACAGAAAAAAATCCTGTCCTGTCCCGTCCCGAAAATTGGGAAGGAAATAAAAATCCCGTCCCGTCCCGTCCCGTCCCGAACTAAAATTTCAATCCCGTCCATCCCTAATAATAATTTTCCTCATTACAAAAGTCATAGCATTTTTTAAGTTATGCCTTTAGTTTAAAGTTAGGCTAATATTTACATGTTGACAAATCAAACAGTTGATAAAACAATAACAAATATTTATTTATTTATTTTCCAATAATCACATAACATCATATTCAGACAGGTGATTCGTCATTGTTACAATATTTTATAGTCTCTATTATACTAAAATCATTACTAAAATAAATTTCATATGCTGAGCCTTAACATCTACATAGCTTCCATATATTCCTCCAATGAGAAGAAGGCCTTCTCCAAAAGAAAGTTTTTTAACTTCTTTTTGAATTTAGGGAATGAATCAGTGTCCCTAATTGAAGAAAGTAATTTGTTATATATTTTTGGGCCCATGTACTGAGGAGATAAATGGAATACTTTAAGTCTGTGTTGAACTGGTTTTCTATTGTTTTTAAATCTAGTGTTGTGAGGATGGGCATGTTGATCTTCCATGAATGTGTCAAAATCACTTTTAACCATTAAAGCTAGTTTAAAGATATAAGAACCATACAAAGTAAGAATTTTAAACTGAATGAAAAACTCTTTACTGTGAGTAATCCGAGACACTTTCGCTAAGACTCTAACTGCTCTTTTTTGGAGGATAAAAATTTGTTCGGCATGACTAGAAGAACCCCATACAGTTAAACCGTAATTCATAATGGAAGAAAAATAAGCGTGGTATACTGCTAATTGTGTGTCTAAATTTGTAGTATGTCGAATTACCCGAAGAACAAGTATAGCTGATCTGAGTCTCTTTGATAGATTCTTAATGTTTGTTTGCCAATTAAGTTGCCAATCTATATCAATTAATTCCAAGGTAATTAACTGAGTTTTGAGAATATATTGATGTTTGGTTTGAATTTAAAACAATGTCTCTATTCTCATTAGCAACTGAAAAGTGAATTAGTTGTGTCTTTGACACATTCATAGATAGACCATTTACTGTGAACCAGTCCCCGAGGAGTTGAAACTCATTAGTAATTAAGTCTTGCTTAAAATCCAATATTTTTTGTTCGGTGCAGATTAAAGCAGTATCATCTGCATATTGAAAAGTATGCATTTTTGTAACATTACATAAATCATTTACATAAATTAAAAATAAACAAGGTCCAAGAATGGAACCTTGAGGAACTCCGTAGGGTGTGTAACCCCACTCTGACTTATATTTAGTTTGGCATTTCTGTAATATAATTCTTTGTTTACGGCTTTTTAAATATGAAATGAACCATTTTAATTCCACATTTTTTATTCCATGTCTACTTAATTTTTCTAGCAATATATCATGATCAACACAGTCAAAAGCCTTGGACAGGTCACACAGCACACCTATTGTGGGCTGCGACCCGTCCAAGGCCTCCGCAATGCAGTTAATCATCCTGGTAATAGCCTTTTCAGTACTGGATTTTGAGCAGAAACCAAACTGAGATGGATTTAGTAAATTATTTTGTTCCAAATAATCTATAAATTGAGTTTTCACAATTTTTTCAAAAACTTTGGAAAAACAGGGCAAAAGAGCAACTGGTCGGTAGTCAGAAGGATTGTTAACATCACCCTTTTTAAAAAGAGGTTTTATCTCTGCATATTTAAGTTTTTCAGGGAATATTTGTTTGTTTACATAGGCAAAAACCAAAAAAGATGATAGTTAAATTATTTTGCCGTAGTAAACAATTTATGATAGATTTTACAAGTGATAAACATGTAACGAAAACAAATCGTTTCACAGTAGTGTAGTGAAAAAAGAAAAAATATTTTTAACTGAAATGGTGACCATACGAACGTAGGTAGGGTTTTTAAGCCATGTGTGTAGAATCTTGTAGTCTTGTTACTGACTAATGCTGACATGTTAAAACAGCGAATGGTAAAACAACCTGTTTCTAATAGCCTGTTCATCATGGATTTGGATGATTGTCAATTTGACAGCTTGATTGTAAGTTACAACGGTTGTTTTTGAATTATTTGTTTTTAGTTCTAATTTAGATTATATAAAGTAAATCTGTAAAATACTTTTTCTATTGAATCAGTGGTAGTTTCAAAACGTCCTATGATAGATTTTGCAAATTCTTAGAACAATGGTCTTCGGCCAAATGGTTTTGTCTTTTCACTGTTTAGAAAGTAAATTGGCTGGTTTATAAACATATGGTGAATTATTTATAAATCAGTGAGTGAGTGAGAGGGCTTTTACTTTTATATTTTTAGACTCTTAGATTCTCTGTTTACATTACATTGTTAATTGGTAGTTAATAATCGTGGAAAAAAAACAAGCCTAATGTTGAAAATTAAAAATTAGGTTATTTTTAAATTGTATCCAGCATTATGAAATAGTGTTTGGATATATTTTAAAAAATCCTCAATGTTTGTCGAAATTACCTTTGACTTAGGTACCTATGTTCAGCTGTTATTGCGTGATGCGATTAGCCTACACAAAATTTGCATAAGGCCCAATCTCAATGAGCTCCGCTTAGTTATAATTAATAATATCATTTAACCACAATTTTAATTTGCTAGTATTCATTGTATTGTAATAGACCTAAGCATAGTTTGTAATTTAACATGAGTGCATGGACTATATTAAAGGACTAAATTTAAAGCACAACACCTGCAAGAAAACATTTTTTTAAACATTTTAACCAGGGTGTCCAGCAAATGGGCTCGGCCGAATTCCCGCATATTTCCTGAGTAAATACCTTTTTTCTCAAGGCATTTTTTTACGGTAAATTTTATCAAAAGTTTATCAAATTGAAGAAAAAAATGTATATACAATACAAATAAAAAGAGTGCACACACTCATGCAAAACCGCTGAAAAACAGCGCACATTACCACTTAAAAAAGTCCATCTATGTGGCAGAAGAGGTAAAGCTTCTAGGTGGACAAATACTTATTAAGGTCAAGGTTAAGTCGATACCGGCAATGGGCAATAGAGACAATAGTTGCGCATTGAACTAGAGCTACAACCAAAGGTAGCACTGAATGTGAGAATTGAGGGGCGTTTGCCGCCATATCTACTGGGGGTAGGGGAACATTTAGTACTTTGGAACTAGGGGATTGCGGGATTTCCAATGAGCTGGTTGATTCTTCCAGTGATACCAACATAACAACATTATACAGCGTCACGATTTTCTAGCAGAGATGCCGTGCCAGTGCTACCTCCATTTGGATGTTTTCAGTCTACGACTATTTCATTTGTAAAAAGCAAGAGCAGTTCCCTGATTCCGTTAACTTATTAGACTTGGATACGATAAATAACTGAGCGCACGATAATTTTTAGCCGGCATGAACTACGTCGGTTGTCTGATACAGAATCCAAACATGGATGATACGAACAACAAAACATTGACCATGGCAACTTCCTAAAAAATATGAGTTTTTATATGGAATCGGTATTGAGAATCGTGAGTAATATTTCAGAACTGGTATAGAATCGAGAAATTCTGTTATCGGCCTATCCCTACTTATAATACAATTAATATTCTATAACTAGAACGTAATTCAAGCAATGACCTTGAGTTTTTAAACCGAGTTTGGCTTTGTTTGAGCTATGCGTGGATCGACACTGCTGCTACACGCTACACATTGTTATTATAGAGCTGATGGCGAGTAGGCGTATTCTGTTGCATCTATAATCCAAATCTTCTGTAGATATACATTCACTATTAAAATTTTTGGAGAAATTGGCTCAAAATTGTTATAACTATAAAATTCCTCTAAAATAAACATACATAATGATATCTATTAAAATTCACAGAAAACCCCCGAATAATACCATTTTCACGCGTAATTCCCGATTTTCCCGGAATTCCCGGTCGCTGACAACCCTGTCCTTCTGTCGCCTTTTGGTGCGATTTGTATCTAGATTTTTTGAATACTATAATAAGAAAATCGTCTCGTTCCTAGAGGCTGGCATTTCTCATAACGAGACCGTCGGCAGTTGGCACTCTAGTTACGACAATGGAGCGTCTCTGAGCGAGACGCTCTACAGAATTTTAAGGGTTTAGGTGAGCTTTTAACATATACTAAGTTGTGTGTTGTTTTACTGTTTTTGATGTTCTACCAACACCTTGTTAGGGAAAAAAACAATGAGTGAAGATGAGAAGTTAGGTTATTTTTATTTAATTAACTGTAGGCCTACCGTTATTTGTTTGTAGAGAACGTCGATTTTTTCACTCTCAAAAGGAAGACAACCACACAGCAATGCATACAACATGACACCCATGCTCCAAACGTCAACAGCAGCACCTGAAAATAATCTAAACATTATACACGGAATACATACCTGAATGGAGTGAAATTGGTTACTACTAGTAAACCTGACACATGGAATCGTGTACAATCTAGACATAGGAAAAGAAGTATATAGATCTTTTTTATTTACTGTGTTCAGGTTTCTTAGTTTTGTTGTTAAAAGGTGGAGATGGTAAAAGGTCTAATTGAGTTCGCAGTTACGTGCTTCGTCCAGACACATAATGTGTCCAAAAACCTAGCAGCACGACTTCCTTTCCCCTACCACCAGAGCGATAGGGATTATTGGGATTCGCTTTAACCTTTCATCTCCCCTTCATAGGAAAGGTTTAATTACTTTTCTTTCTTAGTTTTTTTCCCTCACATTTCCCTAGCTACTTTCCTAAACAATTGTTTTCTTGTCTCTCGTCAAGTTTTAAAGTATTTTCTCATCTCCAGACATTTCCTATCCAAGTTCTTCCTGTTCTCTCCTATTAGCCTCCTGAAGTGGACAATTCATAAATATGTGGCTCGTAGTATCTATTCCTCCTCATCTGCATACTTCCTCTTCCACTTCTACCAGGTTCATCTATAGAATTTTGCCTTTAAATTTTCTATGTCTTGTGACAAATTGCATTCAAAAATGGCCCATATCTCAATCTTGTTCTAGTCTCCTTCTGATGTTTGGCATATCCAAACGTTTACCTTTATTTCTCACTCTGCTCTCAGCGCATTTGCCACTCACCTTAGGCCTACACATAGCACATCTGTCTGAGTTGATGTATAAGTTCAGCCTTCTCCCTATGGTTAGTATGTGAGTCCACTTCACAACCGATCAGATCTGGACGACCTTTTGATTTGTCTCCTGTGAGTTTGGGGTTTAACTAAGGTTCAGTGCCTCAATCTGAAAACAAACTGACTCGTGTTCAATCTTTACTAAATATAATGTTTGGATACTGCATTGCCAAGTTTATGTGCTGATGGCTGGTATCAACTTACCAAGGTACTTGTCGCCTTTGATCAGCTCTGGGGCAGCGTACGTGGGAGAGCCACAAGCTGTGTAAAGTTGCCAGTCCAGTTCAGGCTGAGGCTTGGCACACAGTCCAAAGTCAATCAGCTTCACACACTGATCTCGATCCAGAAGTACATTCTCCTGTGCAACATTTTATACATCAACAAATTAATTATTTACTTAATATTTTGAAAGCAATATCTTTTGTAAAGATAAAGGTAAACTACCCAAAATTAAACCGGTTCACATTATTTTTCTCAATTTTAAATGCAATTTTCTAAACACAATTTTTCAATTTGTTGATTGAGATGTTTTTTTTCCATATATAGCAATAATAACAATGCTATTGCAGGTAAAGATAACCTTTCTTGTAGGTTGAATTAAGTTTGTTTGTACATGTTTTAGGTTTTGTATTTACCAAGAAAAAAAGTTTATGTAAGATCAGAGTTACCATGGCCCAAACTGGATTCAAACACTCAATCTATGGTGCTATCACATGGCTGGGAAGATGATGCCATATAATTTATTTTCCTCATGTCTGTGCCAGTGGCATTTTAGTAATGAAATAAAGTCAAACACTTTTAAGGGATAAGCGGTCCAAACCCATTGAAATGTTTTTTTGGATGTGCCGGGAATTGAACATATTCCTCCCACACTTAAGTCCGAGACTCTAAAATAACCACTAAGCTAAATAAATACACACATAATACCCCCATTTGGCCACCAATCACACCTAATAACTCTCCTCTCTTTTACACATTAGAATAGAACTGTATACTAGATTTAACTTTTTCTTAGGGATGAACATGTCCTGAAATTTTTGGGGAAAAAATATTTTTGATCAACAGGACGGGATTACATTTAAATCGGGTTTTTCTCGGGACGGGATTTGATCCGATCTTCGGCAATTTTGGCGAGTGACGAGGAAGCCGTTTTTGAGATCGTGGGAGATGACAGGAGGCGATGACGATGTCTCCGTAATTGATTGTGGGAGATGTTTATGATGGCACCGCGAAGGATATGTCGAAGATTGTGCCGTGACCGCAGGACTTGTCATGGAAGATATTGTGACTGCAAATAATGTTCATGATGGTGCCGTGCCCGAAGGAACATCGCTTTATAGTTGACAATGGTGCTGTGACTAAGAGGCATGTCGATGAAGACGCCATGAATGCGAGTTATGTTGATGATGGTGCCGTGACCGTGAGATAAGTTCACGATGGTGCTGCTAACACAGGACATGTCGAAGATGGCAATGCGACCACGAGATTTATCAACGGTGGCGCCAAAATCACGAGACTTGTCTGCGATGGTGCCGTGAACGCAAGACATTTCTAGGAAGACGCTGTGACCATGAGTCATGCTGACGATGTGCCGTGACAAGTTGACAATGGCGCCGAGAACCGGGTGACAAATAGTCTGTTTGAATACCCGAATGTGGTTAGCTATGGACATTTTATAAGGAGACTGATGTTTCACAGTTAAATTGTACCCTATCTGAAATGTTTTTGCAATATCTGTGTATTTTTACATAATGTTGGTGCTTTGTAGATGCCTCAAAGGCTGAAATAAGATTTTTAACTTTTAGTCATTTTTTATATCTGCAATGATGTTTACTCAAGATTTAAAAAAAAGCATTTTTTGCACATACAAAAAAATATCCAGTCCATTCCCGTCCCAAAATTGGGACTTACAATCCTGTCCCGTCCTATCCCGAGCTAAAAAATTTAATCCCGTCCATCCCTGCTGATTAGCATTTATTTACAATGGCAAGCTTAAATCTTTCCTGTTCAACAACTACAGTTTACTCAACTTTCTGTTGTTGGAATTTTTTCTTCAGTAGCCGATACATGGAGCTCATTGTATTTAAAAATATTTAATATCTATGCTAAACTGGCTTATGATTAGTCAAGTACAAACTTAGACGGATACTAACCGGTTTTATGTCTCTATGGACGAAACCTTTGCTGTGTAGAAAAGCAACTGCTGATAGAATCTGACGGAAAAATGACCTTGACGTCATTTCACTAAGTCGGTTGCATTGTACTAAAAAAGGAAAACCATCCTTTTAGTTTTAACATGATTTAAATACAATCACAATACAAAGGAACATAAAGTAATATGACAAGAGTCATAGAGCCTCCTCTAATTCAAGGAACTGAATTCTGGCGAACCTGAAATAGAAAATGTTGCACTAATTTATGTTGGAGCTGAGGCACAATATTTATTTACACATTTTTATTACTAATATTTATTACAATAGGTATGAAGCAAAGCCAATGAAAAAGAGGTTGCCTAGGACACGCGTATGTTGTCACCCGCTGAACCGGATGGTGCTGCTTATAATTTTCACACAGATGGCACCTGTCAAATTTGTTGTTATTTTTAAGATATGTTCAGTGAAATTAAGTAATTTTCTTTCTGGTTTTATTTCTTCTGTTTTATATTCTTTTACAGATTAAATTTTTATTTTCTTTCTTGTTTTATTTTGATCTGTTTTATATTGTTTTCTTGTTTAATTTTTAGTTTTAATTTATCTAAAGTGGTTGAAATGCCTGGATGTGTTGTTGTAGTCTCAATAGTCAAATGCAAACCCGTGAGTTAGTGACAGACCTAATAATATAGTTTATCATTATTTTTCTAAGGACAAAGAACAATGCAAACAACAAGCCTACTGCTGCAAACGGGCAGATCAATAATTTAATCTGCATACTTCCGTAATTTGTTCTGAACATTTTACTGACGTTGATTATCAGCAAGATTTGAAAGCTGAACTGTTAAATTTAGCCCTAAAGAGGGATTTTGATTTTAAGTCACATTTCCATCTGTCAGAGCTTATGTTTAAATATTTTCAACAAGAAATATGTTAACAAATAACTTTTCAAAACTTTAAGTATGGAAAATGAAAGTTGTAATGAAAATGGCAATTGATCAAGTGTTTTAATAATCATGATACATCATCCAAAGAAATAGCTTACCTATCTCAAAGAACAAATTCAAACAAAGAACAAAAAGCGAAATAAAATGCGGAGCAGGACAGTCAGATCAGATCAGCTTGGTGAGAATAACGTCAAACTCCAAATTTACATATCCAAAAGTCAATGTCAAACCTTTTCATATTAAATATATTAAATAGGCAAATTTTGCCTTTCCTAATTTTCAAAGGACAAAATAGAGAATGAAACGGTAAAATTAATATGAACCACTCATTTTCATGTTAAGATTGTAGTTACTATCTTCCGTAATGACACAGTAAATAGACTCTATATACGTAAGTGTTATGGTAATGATGATAGTAATAGATTGGACTTCGACAGTAAGTTCTTCTACTACCACAGTGAGCAGAGCGACCTTGCGTAGGTCAGAGAAGCAGATCGAGTTGTATAGGATGGCTAGTAGCGAGCTTACCGGTAGATTCAAGTGACGCTCACGCTTCAAAACATGCGTTCCTATTCTCCTGTTTTGGACGCTGTTTTTCACCCATTTTACATGAAATGTTTTTTACAGAATTAGTCATGTGCGTACGTGAGTTGTGGCCACCGCGACGACAACAACGACCGGTCTTTAAATGTATTAAATGTGTGTTTGTGTATTGTGCAATGACTGTTTTATGTTAATATATTCAAGACGAAGCGATAGCGGATACCTGAGGATGTCACTGTGCTGACGAAACGCGTCATAAATAACAATCATTTGGAACGGAAGAAGGTAATATTATTATTATTTATTAATAACTAACTTTCCAGTAGTAGGAAATGAATTCTAATTACAGCTTTTTACTACTTTATTGGTTTAATACCAGAGGGAAATAAATAAATAAATTGAGAGAAATATAAAATTTCCATTGCCAAGAACAAAACACAAGCTACAGATTTGACAATCAAGATAGGCAATCTACTTGAACTATCTCTTACCTATGTGGTCAAACAGTTCCCCTCCAGCACAATATTCCATCACAAGAAAGAAGTGAGTGTCAGTCTCAATGACCTGGTAAAGTCGACAGATGTGATGATGAGTCAGACTTTTTAAAGCTTCCAATTCCATCTTTACTCGAGGTAGGTCATCCTTTAAAAAAATGAGAATGACTATGTAATTTTGTACTGTCAGTTATTACGATATATGTCTACCTAGCCTTTTTATACTTTTTATACTTATACATTGCTGCTCCTCTGGCTTGGGGGTGGGGACTGCGCCTCTGTCCTGCATGCAACCTACTCAGTATATGTAGGTACCTTTGGTGTTAAATGTATTATTCAAGCATGATTCATTTTATTTAGGTAGCACCAAGAGAGTAAAAATGTAAAATAAAATATCAACCTCTATAAGGTTTACAAAACCTAGATAATATTTCTTATTTCAATAAATCCCTCAAGTATTATTTTTTTTTCAAAATTATCGAGTAAATCTGCCCTATGTTCATGAAAACAGCTGTGGCATTTGTTACAAAATGAGCTTGAATGGTAGGCCTACCACTACACTAAAAAATGACAATAGGCCTACTGGTCAAATGGTCATTAGATAGATAGATTTATTTTATAACTAAACATTATACATAAAATGCAATAGATCATGTCAATAAATAGTAAGCAAATCAGAGAGATACATGCAATCAAGCTACATCAATTAAGGTTTACATGCACGATAAATAAGTACCTATAAGATAAATAATACATACAGGCTTACTAGGCCTAAATAATATATGCACTAGTAATAAAGTATAAAATAAGCTAAATCACAGTAGGCGGCATACTTGAATAAATAATGCAGACAAGGAAGCTAGGAATAAAAGTTTTACAAGTTGGAAATTTACACAAAAGATAAAAAATCACAGTATAAAATCACAGATAAAATAGGTAAATCGATGTGGTTAAAAAAAACTAGGCTAATATCACAGGCAAAGAATTCTTCAATACTGTAGAAGGGTGTGACTGAAAGCCACCTGTGGAAAGTACTTTTTTGAAATGGTCAAAATCAGCCAGATGGGCTTCAAAAGGCAGCCTGTTAAACAATTTTACACCGTGTTCAAAAGAATTGAGTACCTGGCTCAGCCTGGTGTAGGGTCTAGCTATTGAATTACAATTTCTTGAGTTATAGGCCTAGCTATGAACGTTTCTATTAAGAGTTAAACTGTTACCAGTAACATTTTTTCTTTTGTGTGAAGCATGACGGAGATGTAGAGGTTTACAATAACATTTTTTCTTGTATAAAAAGTGGTCTGCAGTGATATTTATAATCTGAATTAGTCATTATAATAATACATTTCTTTTGGGCGAGTGGTACACCGATCACAAAAGGGCTATTTCCCCAGAGCAAGAGACCATAGGAAAAGGCATATGAAATAGACTAAAGTAGACAGTGTTAACAGAGTCAGAGGATACATATTTATTCAAGTGTTTAAATAAATAATTAATTAGGCCTAGACTTAGTTTTTTACATACAAACTCTACATGCACATTCCTTCCAGGATAATTTAGGGTCTAAGTGAATACTTACACCCAGACACTCTTTATCCATAATTTTAATAGCTACTTTCTCGCCTGTCAATATGTGCTTTGCAAGCTTGACTTTGGCAAATCCTCCAGTTCCAATTGTCTTTTCAGTTTCATATTGGTTTTTTAGAGCCATATACCTAACCATCTTGATTTGTTTTCAAACCTGTAAGCAAATAGTAAATTACAATTAGAGGTGTGCTGTTGGAGCTGGAGCTGTTTCAACGGAGTGCTCTGCGCATGGAGCGGAGCTGGAGCAGCTCCGACAATTTTCTTAACAGCTTAACAGGCGAATTTCCCTATAGGCCTAGGGAAGTAGCTATTTACCGTAGGTGGCACGGTATGACCTAGGCCTGGGACCGATTTACTTTCTCATTTTGATGTCCCCTGAGGCCAAAAACACCATTTATTCAAATTTGTATGTATTTATTTATATAAGTTACATCTGTGAACGCGATAACTTGAGCAGCTTAACTTAACTTAATACATGTCCGATTTTGATGACATTTGGTAAAGGAGTAAGGCGGGATAAACTTGAATGAGTTCACGAACCAGCATGATCGAACCATGGGAACCGGGGGGGTTCAAAATTTCTTAATTTCTCTAAACATTTTAAAAGAACTTAAAAAACAAATAATTTAGTAGGTAAATGAAAGTGTTTTGTACGGTTATTGGTGACGGAGGAAATTCAAAAAAATTTAAATTTCAAACTCCCATGTTATTTGTATAACGTAAAATGTTGTGTAGCCTACAGTAGGTAGTTTGCTTGTTTATGGATATTTTGATCAAACTTGGCATATTTATTTATTGTAGGCCTATACTAAGCTAAGAATATTAGGACTATAAAATTTTACTAAAAAAACCACTTTAATAGTTTCCTTGTAGCAGCTAACCTAGGTACTCATTAAACCTAATGTTATTGAAATAGATTTAATTGAAAATCAATTCAGACAAATGGAAATTTGCTTAGTCGACAGATTTGCTGCGGTGGGGGTATTTTAATTTTGACATCAGCCTTATGGGTTGCCATGATGGTTACAAAATAACAACGTAAATGTAAACAAAACAAAGAGTCTTGGCATATAGGGCTAACTTATATATAAGCATAGACTAAGCAACACAAGTAGACTCCTTATCCCATTGTAAATTTTGAAGCTTGTTTTTTGCGTCTAGTTCATGTAGCCTACGTCCAAACTGATCGCTAGTGTAGACAACATTTTGTTTCTATTATTTTAGGGTTATTTTAATGATTTGTGCTTTAATATTTGGTTATATAACTAGGAGACCAGTTATTGTTTATGATTATATCGTTTTATTAGTTTAAACAAGGTTTTAAATTACTGCAATAACAAGAAACAAATTGTAAACAAAACATAACCTCTAGATAGTTGGACGTACAGAACTAACAATAAAATTGGCTTCAGCTGTTCCATTAGGATGACTAATCTACTAAGGGAGTATGTTTTATCTATGGTATAAGTTAGTTAAAATCAAGCCAGATCTAAGGTAGGCCTATCCCCAGTAGGGTAGATTGATGATAGGTTAAGCCTTTAACTTACCAATACGGTAACTTAAGTAGGCCTAGAGTTTGATTTTGGCAACACTTTGATATAAGTTACAAATCCCTTCGTAGGCCTATTAAGTTAAGTTATCGGACTTATCGAAATATGGATACCATTGAAACCCAAACTAGGCCTAATTTTTATCGACTGTAACAATCAATAAAATGATGGAATCAGATTAACTTATCATTTAAGTTAGCTTTAAGTTATATAGGTTTGGTACCGTACAGTAGGTTACTTAACCCTCCAAGTGTCCATAGGTTAGGTCTTAATGTCCACCTATTTTTGGCACATTTGCAAGGTTTTATTAAAACGGATCTGAGAAACTTAAAACAATGTTAATTCTAATGTTCTATATATACCATTTTGTTTGGAAAATCATGGGCTTCAATATTATATAGGGAAAACATAAGGAACATTTAAAAAAAAAAAATTTGTTAGGTAAAAAAAAATATAATTTCGAAAATTTTCAAAAAAGAAAAAATTTAGCGCTCAATGAAATTGTATAAATTATAGGCCTAGGTATAAATATTTGAAAATAGCCACTTTGTTCTAAATCTTATGAGGATTACAAATATATAATAATATAAGGAAGTAGATTTGCAAATAAATACGTTATGGGCAAAAAACAGATTTCAGTACATAGCGTTTAGCTAAGAATGCATAGCCTAACCATAGCTAGGAATCTGGCTGATAATTTACATCAATATCACTACCTACTTCTTCAGGATCATCAACCAGCACTTCAAAACCACTTAAATCTTCTTATAATGCAACACGTATATCACTACTTTTGATTTTTAACACTAAAACAATGATAAACGTAATAATACACATCAGTCATCGGTCGGAGGGTAACCTAGCTGTTTACAAATACACGCACGTCAGCTGTCTGCTACATATTACGATCGGCTCAGATAACGTACAGCGCTGAGACAGACCTCTGGAGAAAGCTTAGAATGAAACGGAAATAACGATACCTAACTCGATCCAGTTCAATCCGATTCAGTCAGTTATAGAGCCTTCGCCGTAAACGATGTCTGCTTGTCGAAAAATCAACAAGTAACACTACACAAAGTGTGCTGCTTGTCGAATTTTCGTCAAGTAACACTGGGAGGGTTAATTCCAATAATTTTATCCAAGTAGCCTAATCTAAGTAACTTAGATCCAACATAAAAGAGTATTTAAGATCAGTCTTTTTAACTTGCTGTTTCATGGACAGTTGGGTGGTATACAAAATATCAAACCAAGTAAATTTGGTAGGCCTATTTGTAAAGCTTTTTCAAAGGCTGAAGTAAGTTACGTTTAAGTAAATTACTGAAAGCTTAAATTTAGGCCTACGAATGCTGTTTGGCTTCAGATTCGGGTTAAGCTGAATTCGGCTTAAGAATAGCCTAAGTTAAGTTTAAATTTCCTTAGGGTCCTAGTCTGTAGGCATACTAGGCCTGGGCTATGTGTTGTTAGGCCTAAATCAAGCATGATGTCAAAGACCAAACAAGTTAAAGTGAGCAATATTGTTTTCCATTTGAATTGTTAAAAGTAAGTAGTAGGCTAGGCCTATTTGCTAAGCTGGTAAGCTCGGCCTAGGGGTTTTCATAGAGTTTGAATTTTGATTCTAAGGTAGATCTAAGTTCAGGTTAGACTAAGTTATTGAACCTAAGTTTACTTACACCTTGATTTGTTGTTGACTTCCCAAAAATATTTGGATTTCTGATCATAGATGAAAAATCAATCACTTCTGAACTATGTTTATCTGCATTTTTACTTCCAACTGACACTGACAGACATCAAGCTTCAACTTCAACGTTTTGAATCCAGTCAACCATACCACAAACCAATAACCAACCAGGTAGGTAGATTCTCTAACTAACTAGATTTCAAAGCAAATGCAACGAGCGCCGAAACCGACGAGGACGAAACGAACCAACAAAACAACCAATAATAACGAAAACCAAGTGAGGTAGTGAGGAGACAGAAAAACAAAACACCTTGACAACTTGAGTCAAGAAAGGCTTGCTGAGTGGAAAACAGCACAGACCTCATTGATTATATATCTCTCCAAGGGATAATATACATTCATACATACATATATACATACAGGCTCCTCTTTCTACGTAGTCTTGAAGAGGGGGCCCATTTCATAATAAACTACAAGTTACAAGGGGGCCCATTTCATAATAAACTACAAGTTACAAGTTAAAACTTGTAACTTGTAATTTCCATTAGATTTGCATTGGGCGATCAGCTGATTTACTAATAATATTAGTTTGTATTTATTATGAAACTAGTTAACTGCCCGTGCTCCGCCACGGGAATATTGTCAGCAATAAAAGAAATAATAATTAACAAATACTGCCCAGATAGCAAAAAATACTTGATTAAAGCTTGAAACAAGTTTGATTTGTAAAGTTGTAAGTTTGCTCAAATGGGTCCGTAAACTTGATTCAAGTTAATATCATGCGTCGAAGTTCCCGCTCTTCCAGTTTGAATAAAACTTGAAACATCTAATTTGAATAAAACTTGAAATTTCTAATTTGAATAAAAATTGAAACATATAATTTGAATAACACTTGAACTATCTAATCTAAATATAAATTGAAAAAATACTTGATTCAAGCTTGAAATAAGTTTGGTTTGTCAAATCTGCAAACTTGAAGGATCGGGTTTGTAAACTTGATTCAAGTTAAAATCATGCGTCGAAGTTCCCGCTCTTCCAGTTTGAATAAAACTTAAAAGATCTAATTTTAATAGAACTTGAAATATCTAATTTGAATAAAAATTGAAACATCTAATTTGAATATAAATTGAAGAGTACAAGAAATAATTCTTTTTTAGCCTCTTACAAGCTTTTTTATTTCTGAAAATTTAATTCATATGCTTTTACCAGGATTTACACAGTCTTGACACATGTAATAAAAATTTCATATTTTTTAGGTTGAGATGCAAAGCACAATATAACCTTCCAATATTTCAGATAATTTTTCACAATCACAACATAATCTAATAACTTCAATGCCTCTAGTTGTTAAATGCCAGAGACACTTCTCTAAATAAAAAAGCGAGATACCATCTAAAAACTTATTTTTATAAAAGAGCAGGAAAACATGAGTTATTTTAGTTTTAGACCCTACAATTTTACATATTATTACTATTCAGTACGTAGAATTCAGAATTCTTTGAAATTAAAAATAAAACACAAGAGGTAATTTGTCTAAATAGATTTATATTGAATATTTACATAACACATTTACATTTGAAAATGCCTTGTGTCTTTAACTTTTAACAAACAATTCCCTCAAAAATTCCTCATTTTACGATTACTTTAATAATACAGAGTAAGTTATCTATTCAACAAGATCTTCATCCCCATTGAGTGGAACTTCTTCCCCACTGTCCACAGTGGCAGGTTTTTTCCCTCTGAAAAAAGTCAAAACAAATAGAATAAATATTAAATTTAAGGATAATTAACCAAAATGATCAATTTTGTATCTGGTATAAAAAAATAGGCAAGTAAGCAACATTTTAAACTAACGCAGTTTAACTCACAACCAGTGCAGGTCTGTTTAATGAAAATTAATTTATTCCTACAATGATATACAAATACAATATATGATCTTCCCAATAATATTAATAATAATTATTAATATGTATAAAACACAATTACATTTTTACTGTCAAAAAATGCTAGACACAAGCCCAGGATTGTTTTCACATTACTTCAGGCGAGACCTAGGCGTTGCGGCATTATCACTTCGATAAAATAATTAGTTGGATCTGCGGGATTTTATATTTTATCTTTTAAGTATAAAACTAGTGATAGTTCTTGGTTGGTTATCCTAAATATAGCCAAGACATTTGTTACAAATCTTGCTAGCTCATACTTTACAAATATATATAAGCTTTCATTTACTGTATAAATTAACCCAGGTAAGCCCAGCATTGCTATGAAACATGAAAACCCCTCTACAAGAATAAAAATACTAGCATTTTTCTTTTGGCAAATTTCCCTATAGGGAAGTAGCTATTACCGTAGGTGGCATGGTAAGACCTAGGCCCGGGACCGATTTACTTTTTCATTTTGATGTCCCCAGAGCCCAAAAACACCATTCGTTCACATTTTTATATATGTATATATAGATTTTTATATTAATAATTGGAAACATTATAACAACAATAAGTACCCTTTTAAATTCATTTTAATTTTTTTATATATTATATAGGCCTATGTCCGTGAACACGATAACTTAAGTAAGTTAATTTTTGTCCGATTTTGATTTTGTCCGAACCAGCATGATCGGACCATGGGAACGGGGTTTTACGGGGGGTTTTATGGGGTAAAAATGGGTTTTTCTAATTTTTGACCCTCTAAACACAAAATTTCCCAATTTCTCTCCAGACCTTTTTAAAGAGCTTAAAAAAACAAATGATTTAGTATATCAATAGTTATTTGTGTAACTAGTGGTGAAAGTGGCACTTTGCTGCACACGAGAGCAATGTTTACTCGCCTGCGGCTCGTGCGGAATGATCTCGAGTGCAGCAAAGACCATTTTCACTTGTGTTACACATTATATTTTTCCTACAGTCACTATAAACATAAAGCATATAAATAATTAGTCTTTCAAACACTATACAACACGTTTTTAGGTTCAGCTGGCAACACAAATGGTGCCCTAGAGAAAGTAGTACCCGCGGTCCGTATCACTCCGCTATTTTTCCTCGGCAAGAAATGTGCTCCGCATTTTGAGAATATAGTTCCGTATGTTTTTGTAATTTGAAGTGGTTTCCGCGCCTAAAAAAATGCTTTAAAGGTATTTTCTTGTTTATTAAGATCGTAGGAATGTTTTAAAAATGTTTAAAAGAAAAGTCCAGAAAGTTCAGAATTACCGAAACTATAAACACGAAATGACAGGTTAAATTTTAGTTATAATAGTCAATCAGCTGATAATAGTATTATTATCTTTAAGTGTTGCCAACCTATTTCCAAGCGTACACGGATTACGTGCATAATAGAACCACGCTGTTTTGTGTTGTTTCGTTGGAATCCTGATGTGCGGCAAAGTATAAACCGTACGACAAAGTATAAACCTTACGGCAAAGAATAAATATGCAGCAATTAGCAGCTTTCTGTACTATAAACAGTACAAGGAAGCCAACTTTGTCGGGTGACTGTAGGAAAGGTGTTTTTGTACAATTATTGGTTACGGAGAAAATCCAAAAAAAAATTTTTTTTTTAATTCCTATGTTATTCTTATGGAGAATATTGTAAAATGTTGTAGTTTGCTTGTTTATGGATGTAGTTTGACCAAACTTGGTAAATTTATTTATTTGATACTCAGTAATTAATGTTTTACTAAAAAAAAAACACTTTTTTACCCTCCTTGTAGCAGCAAGCCTAGGTACTCATTAAAGCTAATGTTATAAATACATTTAATTGAAAATTAATTCAGGCAAATGAAAATTCACTTAGTCGACAGGTTTGCTGCGGCGGGGGTATTTTTTAGCTTATACAGTACTTGAGCAATCATAATGATACACAATAAAAAACATTTTTATGAAAAACCATTATGCAGTAGGGTGTAATGGGTCAAAATTATAGAGGGGTTAAGTTTTTATATTTATTATTTAATTATCAGTAGGCCTATTCCTTACCTGATTGGTGATAGTGGTAAACCTATCATGGTAAGGTAAATAGGCTGTTTTAGGCCTATCCTAGGGTTGAGTAGGGATAACCTCACTTTTGGCAAAATCATTAAAGACACTATTTTTGAGATTCACAAGTCACAGTATTGCATCGTTGTGTACAAAACGAGTGATAAACCGTTTCCGTGTAAACCCCATGCCTAATATACACCTTTGGGAAGTACGGTCAAAGTTGTTGTAGGCTAGGGTGGTGAACCGCGATCACAAATACAATATCACTACATAACATGTATACACTTTGTCGCACACTAAGCTACACGTCACGGGTGGAAATTATACTTTTTGTTTAAACCAGCGATGATATTTAAGTTCCGCGTATAATTTCACAGTCGGCGCAGGTGAATAACAACATTAACAACATAACCTGTACTACTAGTCGGCTGTCTTGGCGTTGTGTTGTGACAGCGCCAAGTTTGAACTCGTGACGTCACCGATCAGCTGGTAATTGAATCAGCTGATTCCCCATCCCTAGAGGATTAGGGAGGGGGAAGTAGTGAAGATCCCTTGTGGGCAAGGGATGCGACGACATTCTAATCCGGCGATTGCGAGTGTTAGGACGTTAGAGTGATTACTTTAGTGATTTTGCTAAACGTGTGCTTTAGTGTGTCAGTGAAGATCCCTGGAGTATACAGGTAATTCGCCGGCTTTATCTTAATAGTGTGTACTATTATTTTTTTTTTATTATTTAGCGATAAACCCTCATTTTATTCTTTTAGACGTAAAACTCACGGTAGGATCTTTGTCGGGTGTTAGAACTTGTATAAGTCCGCTTTAGCGTATGCTAGGGCTCCCGTGGGTGGCAATAAAGAGTTTTAGGGATACAAATTTCGTTTAATATTGTGTTTACAATATATATTGAGGGTGACGGGGTTATAGCGGGTATTTTGCCGGGATATTCAGTAGGTGTTTAACTGCTGCGGCAAAGCGGACAAAGTTGAACCCGTCTCTGCAGGTCGTGCAAACACGAGGTCGGGTGGAGCACGCTAAGTATATTCAGAAGAAATATTCTAAGTGTTGAGGTTGACGAAACTGCAACATTAAATTGTTTCAAAATTTCGTTGAATGG